CCACCCCCCCCCCCCCCCCCCCAAATAAACACTAAACCAGCTGTAAATGTACAATAAATTACAAGGTTGTTGTTGTTTTTTACGGGGAATAATGTTCACGAATTATCTTCCGTGGTATCCACAAAATACACTCTCAACAGCTTTCATCAGGAAACAAAGTAGTTCTGATAAAACAACAATGTGGATTATCTGGATCCAGAGGTACAGGAATCAGCATATGAAATACTCACCATGTGTAATTTATAAAGTGTAAATTCCCTATTGCCTGTAAAAACCCTTAGAAAAAAATAAACCTGAGGATATGACCTTAAACTAAATTGAACAAAATTGAATTGATCTCTATTGTACTGTAGTGGCAGTAATCTATAAAAGAGGAACCTTTAAAACCAAAACTATCTGTATGGCTGGAAACCATCACCCAGCCCTGGAAGAAATCCTGAAGAACAAATACAAATTTGTATGCACATACTCTTTTTTTGTAATGTAATCTTTGGGCCTTGACTAATTTAACAGCTAAACACTTCTTTATGGGAACCTCTATTTTAAAATGATTGTGTTGTTTCTGTAATCTGATCCTTTCATTTTAGTTTACTGATCATCGCTTGGACACGAGCTGGTGACTCAGATGATTTGGACAAGTTCGTGACCTTCAGAGGTTTTGTTGACTCAACTTCAACATTGGTGTGTGGTAAAATGATTCCTTGTGTGAGAGACTGCTCGAATGGTTTACAGCTGTTTGCTCAATCCCAGCTCTGCTGCTGCTCCTGCATCCCGGGCACTAATCCTGTACCTCTCGGTAGAGGGCAGACACACTCACATCCATACAAGGTTAAGCTTATGAATGTGGGGACACTTAAATCTCTCCTGCTCTTAGCTAGAACTGAGTCAGTATCCGCCTTTGTGAGGGCAGATTACTGTCTGGCTGATACACCTGCCTCCCCTTCCCAACTGTACCTTCCTCTCTCTCACACAAATTGATTTTACCTCTCCTCTCTCATTAATGTCCAAAGGGTTTTTAACAGCCCTTCAGCCCATGCAGACGAGTTAAGAGGCATTACCATGTTGGATTCACACTTGTTATTATTTGCACACTGTTTGAATAGCCCCTTCTGAGTCTCACAAAGCAGCATTCATTTGTCTGAAAGAGGATGATTGCCTTGTAGCTGCAAATATTTGAATTTTTTGATTTTAGGTAATTAAACATTTACATTTCTATGTAGGGACATAAGAGAGACTGTAAACATATTTCTACATTTCCACTATAGCGTTATTGATTGTAGCAGATTCAACCCATAAGAACCCAAACCCATTTTTCCTTAAAGTATTAGAGTATTAGTATTAGAGGGAGGTCAACAGAAGGTCCAAAACCCACATGTCAAAGCACTCTTCATAATATTAAACATATGTTAGCTTAGCATGTTATTTTCAATCAAAACTCAGTTTCCTGTAGCCTTTCCTTCACAGTTAGATGTGTCGCTGTGCCTTTCTACTCCTCGGGAATGTAGATGCCAGTTGGGTAATCTTGTTGATACATTGGAGTCAAAGGTTTTTACGGAGAGAGTTTGGGATATTTCTTTTCATCTCTCCACAAATCAGAACATTTCAACAGGCATTACACACGAAAATGTTGCCAGGTTTTAGTACTAAAATGTTTTATAAATCAGGCTATGAATGCTACATAAACAAACTGTTCTGTAAAAACCTTCAGTAGATTAATACAACTGGGAGGTGTGGTGTATGTAACTGCTACTGAAGTGGAGATTTCTGGCTCAGAGTGTGAGAAAAAAAATGAATCTTGAGAAAACAGCTTTTAAATATATTGATTGTAAAATTCAATACACTTTGGAAGACACCACAGGTGAATAGGGTAAATAAATACTTATAATTATCACCATGAAACGTCCTCAGTGGATTAAGACAAATGTTTATATTGGGAAGTTTTCTGAAATGCTATTTTTATATATGCAAATAATGTAAATTAGGCATTATGTAATGCTAATGGTGAATTTAGGAGAACTCTACAGACACAATCAGACAAAGAGGAGTATGTGTATTTTTGGTGTTTTCTCTCCACTAGTCTAAAAAGGAGACAAATTATGGAAGCAAATAAACCCAAATCTCAAAAATGACCAGTGCATGAAAAATGTTTTCGCTTAGGGTGTTTCCTCTTAAGGATCCAGGAGTGCTGGCTGCATGGTGACCACTAGATGGCGATGGCACTTTAATAATCAACACAGCAGGAAGAAGGAGCATCTTGCACAATAGCACCTTTTATATTTCTTAAGTTTGGGTCTTTACAGTAAAATGCGAGATCAGGAGGGACATGGTGAGGACATGTGAGGAGGAGAAGCCAATGTGGAGCAAGGAGAAGAGGTTAATGATGGCAGACCATGAAAAGAGGTGGGGGGGATAAACAAAACTATAATTGCTGCCCTTCATTCTCTGAAATAGACTCAGATGGAAGTCTTTACTCTGGGGCCGCGATGGAAACAAACTAGAG